TATCGTGAAGGTCGCGGTGGACCGTATATTATATTAATTGCCGTAGTATTTGGCTATTACAGAGATTCTCCAGTACAAAGTATGTCCGAAAAGTGGTGAGTGTCCTAACTGGACAGGATGAGGGGTTTTTATACAACCCCCGCCCCTAACCGCCACCCCCCAAAGCGGGGGGGGGGGGGGTGGTTAGATCTGAGTTGACCGCGCCCGGTCTTGCGACCGGGCCGCGTTATGGGGCCAGGCCGAGCCCGTCGTGGGCTCGGGCCGAGCCCACTAGGAGGTCGGCCCGGCCTCCTGGAGAGGCCGGCCCGGCCTCTGCCGTGGCCCGCGCGGGGCCACGTGGCGAGGCCCTCCCGGGGCGGGTACGTGGCGCCGCCCCGGGACCCGTTCTTGCCCGCGCCCCTCGGGTCGGTGCGGGTCGGTTCCTAATATATCCGTCATCAGTCCCCCACTCTCCGAGGTGCGAGTAATCGTCAGCGAAGGAGAGTAAGCGCTCCGGCCGACCAAAAAATGTCGACCCCGAGGCGCGCGCGTCCCCGCGCCATAGGTGCCGTCCGGGCATATTTCTCGCGATAATGATGAAACACTCCCTCCGAGGTATGACTCCTTTACCTGTTAGAACACATACATAGTAGAGTCCTTTTAGGTTTTGATCATCCTCCCCAAGTCAACCAACCACACCCATCTTTTCCCCTTTTCCCCCCCTTTTTTTATTTTGAATTTCAAAACTCCCCCTCTTCTTCTCTCCCCTTCTCCTATATAAACCCCTTCTCCCCTCTCATTCTACACTTTCACCACTCCCACTTCACATTCTCCCCCCTCAAACTCTCCCCCAAAACACATTCTCCCCCCTCAAACTCTCCCCCAAAATCCGGCGACCCCCCCTCCACCGGCGGTCAACGGCGGTCCACGGCGGTCCACTTCCCCGCGGCGGCGACGTCCCTCCGACCGACCCTGACTTCTCCTCATCGCCGAGCTCCGGGCCCGAGCGCGGTACGGCTCTTCTTCCCCTCCTTTTTCCCCTTTGTTTTTTTCTTTTTTCGCCGCCTATCGCCGGCACGCCGCCGTACCGGCGTCGCCGCTACGCTGCCAGGGGCGGGCCCACGGGCCGCGCCTCCGCGGCCGTGCCGCCCTCCGGTGCTGCGCCTCCGAGGCCGTGCTGCCCCGGCGTCCATAGCCGCGCCGGCTCGCTGCGCCGACCCCGCCGGCCTTACGTCGGCTACGCCGACCTCGACCTCGGCCTCGGGTCGAGGTCCTCCACAAGCAGCTCTTTTCTTTTTTTTCTTTTTTTTTTTTTTTTTGTAAACGCCGATACGTCGTTCACCACGGAGCCGGTGCGCCGGTCGCCTCCTCGTCGCCGCCGGCACGGAGCCGGCCTCGTGCGCCGAGGCTGTGCCGCCTCCGGGGTCGGCCCGACCTCGATGTGCCGACCCCGACTTCAGCCTCGGGCCGAGGTCCGCCAATACCGAGCCTCTTGCTCTTTGGTTGTTGTTTTTTTTTTTTTTTTTTTTTTAGACCCACCGTGCTGCTGCCCCCATCGTGCACCGCGCCGGTCCCCCGGCGGCGGCGGTGCGGTGCTATCCATCGAGGCGCGGCCTGCTGGCCGTGCCGCCCTCCGGGCGCCGAGGTCTCGCCGACCTCCGGCCCCGCTTCGGCGCCGTCCTTCGACGGCGCCGGCATTTGGGGTCGGCCCGGCCGAGGCCGAGGCTCACCATCTCCTCCCTTTTTTTTTTTTTTTTTTTTTTTTTTTACCTCGTCCTTATACCCTCTTTCTTTTATCTCGTAGGTTTAGTCGGTGCATGCACACTTCTTCCGGTTCCTTGGACGATTTTTTGGACTCCGTAGACACTCACGTCCTTCCCATGGACGAAACTAGCGACCCCCCCACTCCTTTTCCTGCTCATTCCCCTTCTGGGGAGGTCACCATGCCGTATGAGGGTCCGTTGGACGCCCATCCTCCCGTCATGGAGGATCCCCTCGCGGTCCCATACGAGGATCCCGCCCAGTACACTCCTCTGGAGACACTCATCGCGGCCTCGACTTTGGCTCAGACCTCCGTACAGGAGTTTGAGGAGGCCAAGAGCTATGTTGGGCCTGCGGGCGAGGTGCGCCTGCCCTCCTCATCGGGGAATGTCACCGAGCCGCCGACACCCCTCTTCTTCGGGGTGCACGTGCAATCCATGTACCTTGGTTTTCGCTTCCCTATTCATCCCTTCGTCGAATCCTTCCTCAACCACTACGGCATCGCACCCGGGCAGTTGGTGCCGAATGCCCATTACTTACTTCTTGCCTTCTTGCTTCGCTGCCACACCATTCGTGTCAAGCCCTATATGGATCTCTTCCAGAGTTTGTTTCAAGTCACCTCGTCATCCAGCCAGGCCAGCAGAGGGTTCGTGGGCATAGCGGCCCGGGCGCGTATGAAGACGTTCCACGACTTCAACCAGACCAACCGGGACTGGAAACCGCACTTCGTCTACGTATCGGTTGGTGATCCTCGCCCGTTCCTATCTTGGAACAACAGATTTGTGCGCCACAGGGCTCCCCTCCAAACGGCTGCCGTAACCCGGGACATCCATGCCTTCCGGGGCGATCGGGGGGAGATCAGCATAGGCGAGATGATTACGCCCGAGAACATGCGCGGCCTGGGCTTCACGTTGGATGGGCCGTTGCCGCCTCGTATCCGTCCGCGCCTTCTGCGTACGCCCCAGCCGGATGCGCGTTCGTTGATCGATTTGACGGACGACGAGCCGCCAGAGCAGTCTCCGGGATCCTCCGGGTCTTCGGGCGAGGTTTTTGCCGAGCCTGGGTCCTCCGGATCCGCTGTCGGCCCTTCGCGTGCTTCCACTCGTGGTTTGTCCCTCTTCATTTTGTTGAACCTTCGGCTGTACTCATGTCCTCTCGTTTGACCTTTGCTTGTTTCCTTTTGCAGCGAGACCTCCCGTCATGTCTACGTTCCGCCAGCGTCTTGAGCGCGTCGTGGCGCGCGGCCCTGTCGCGAAGAGGCAGAAGGTTACTGCACAGTCTGATGTTCCCACTTCTGAGTCTGGTGTGCCCCCCCCGGGAGGGACACGGCCGCAGGCGAGCCGCCCCCCTGTACCACCGGGTGCCCCACCCCCGCTGCCACCTGCCCCGCACGTGTCGCGGAGCTTGCCCGCTGTCCTCCGGGAGGCCCTTCGGACCATCGAGGTATGCTCGTGATTTCCTTTGTTATTCTTAGTCCTTGTTATTGCCTTGTTATGATTGTGCCCTTGTTTCAGGGTTGGGCTGCGTCCTCTGTGGCCCTTGTCGAGGATGAGCAGGGTCGCGCAGCCGAGCTGGTGCGAGCCTTGGAGGCCGAGACTAGGCGAGCTGATGAGGCGGGTAGGCGGGCTGATGAGGCGGTCAGGCGCGATGCCGAGTCCCGGAAGGCTCTGGAGGCTGAGAGGAAGAGGCACGCGGAGGAGCTTGGACAGGTTATCTCTGCTTACAAGAAGTCTGATGAGTTCGGGAGGGATGCCGAAGAGTATGTTCGCGGGCGTAGCGGCGACATAGTCGCCTCGTGGCTGGCCAGCGACGCCGGGAGGGAGACGATCGCGGAGGAGAGTGCTATGGCCTTCCAGTTGGGCCGATACGCTATGCAGCAGGATATCTACACCGCCCTTCGCCAGAAGGGGGATGCCTTCGACCCGATCGCCCTTGAGTTGCCGGCTGAGATGGAGGACCCCGAGCCAGCGGCCCCTGCCGAAGGCTTCTCACTATCACCCCTCCACCGCGCCGACGAGCTTGTGGATCTGGTGGTTTCCTCGGGCGTTATTGCACCCGCTGTGCCGAGCGATCCTGTTCCTGACTTGGACGAGGGAGCCGAGGGAGTGACCGTCGCCGTCGCGCCGTCGACAGAGCTGCCACTTGCCGCTGCGCCGGGTTCGGACGAGCAGCCTTGATCGTGCTCGTTTTAGTTTACTGCTTCCTATCTCGTGTATCCGGGCATAGACTTTGGATGTATACTCTTGCCCCCTTTTGTTGCTGACTTTCCTTGACAACTCTCCCCGTTTTATTATGTTTTTGGATCTTCAGTATATGCTTAAGACTTATGCTTGATTATGCGTTTCTGCTGTTGTGATCATGTTGATTTTTTTTTTTTTTTTTTTTTTTTTTTTTTTGGTGCCCGGCCAGCGGCGGGGTTCCCGACCTTGGCGCGGCGCACCCCGGCGGCACGGCCAAGGTGCACGTATCATGGGGCACCCCGGCAGCTCGGCCGAGGTGCATGTAGTATGGTGCACCCCGGCAGCTCGGCCGAGGTGCACGCGGCATGGTGCACCCCGGCGCTGCCGGGGTATGATAGGCCTCTTTTTTTTTTTTTTTTTTTTTTTTTTTTTTTTTTTTTTTTTTTTTTTAGGCTCACAACATAGTCCTACGAGACTACGCCAGCGGGCTCCCCGTCGAAGTTAGTACGCGAGGGCGGGCCTCGTGTCCCCTTTGGGGGTGTCAGCCGCTCAGGCGTAGTCCTTTAGGACCACGCCCCCGGGCTCTTCCGTCGGGGTTGGTACGCGAGGTCGGACCTCGTGCCCCCTTAGGGTGCGCCAAACCGCTCGGGCCTAGTCCTGCCGGACTACGCCACCGGGTTCCTCCGTCGGGGTTTGTACGCGAGGCTACGCCTTGTGCCCCCTTAGGGTGCGCGCCAGCTGCTCGGGCCCAGTCTTTCCAGACTAAGCCCCCGCGCTCTTCCGTCGGGGTTAGTACGCGAGGTCGGCCCTCGTGCCCTCTTAGGGTGCGTCCTCCGTCGGGGTTAGTACGCGAGGTCGGACCTCGTGCCCCTTTAGGGTCCGCGGGGGAGTCATGAGTGAGTACTCGTTCCCCTTTGTTTCGCGATTTTTTTTTTTTTTTTTTTTTTTTTTAAGAGAAGAGAATGGCTGAGGCCAAAGTTGTGGTATTATTGCTGCTCACTAACCAGATAAAACATTATTGGGGAGGGGTGGGATCTTCCTCCTAAGCTAGTCTTTCAACGCCTATCCTTCACGCGGGTCTTATTGGTAGAACCTCAGCAGGTGTTCCGAGTTCCAGACCCTGGCTATCATCTTCCCTTTGGGGGTTTTGAGCTTGTAACTACCCGGGCGGACCACGGCTGCTACAATGTATGGGCCTTCCCAGTTGGGAGCAAATTTTCCTCCCGCTTGCGGCTGGCTTGCCTCTCTCCTCCTAAGCACGTAGTCCCCCGCTTGGAAGTATCGGGGTCGGACTCGCTTGTCATGGTATGCCTTGGTTTGCCTTTGGTAGTTCTCGGCTCGGATCGCAGCTGCTTCGCGCCTGTCATCGACCAGGTGGAGGTCAGTTCTATGGTGTTCTTCGTTCGTGTCGGGGTCGTAGTCTTTCTCCCGCCGGGAAGGTATGACTACCTCTGCCGGGGCTCGAGCTTCGAACCCGTAGGCCAAAGAGAAAGGTGTCTCCCCGGTGGCCCTCCGGGGGGTGGTGCGGTAGGCCCAAAGAATGGCGTCGAGCTCCTCCACCCATGCCCCCCCTGCGGATTCCAATCTCTTTTTCAAGCCGTCCACAATGGTGCGGTTGGCGTTCTCCACCTGCCCATTTGCCTGAGGGTAGCACACGGCCACCCGGCTGTGAGTAATGTGCCATTCTGCACAGAACCCCTTGAATTCTTGCCCCTCGAATTGGCGTCCGTTGTCGGTGATGAGTTGCATCGGGACCCCAAAACGGCACAAGATGTTTTTGTACATGAAGTGCTTGCAACGGGCGCTTGTGATGGTTGCTAGTGGTTCCGCCTCCACCCACTTGGTAAAGTAGTCCACTGCAACTATGAGGTACTTCCTTTTCCCCGACCCCATGGGTAGAGCTCCCACTAGGTCTACTCCCCACCTAGAGAAGGGGATGACCGAGCTGATGGGGGTGTAGCTCGTGGCGGGCCGACCGGGGGTGACCTGGAAGTGTTGGCAGGTCTCGCAACTCCTGGCGTAGTCGGCGCACTCCTTGGCCATTTTGGGCCAGAAGTACCCCTGTATGATGGCCCTTCGGGACATTGCGAAGGCCCCCTGGTGGGCGGAGCAGGTCCCCTCGTGGATTTCTTCCATGACCGACCTGGCTTCGTCCGGGTACAGGCAGCGCAATAAGGCGCCGTTATAGGACCTCTTGTAAAGTGTGTCTCCCATGAGTACGTACGTGGGGGCTCGTCGTGTCACCAATTTGGCGTCGGCCTCGTCGGGAGGCAGGGCGCCTGTCTTTTTATACTCCTTGAGGAAGTCTAACCAGCAGGGAGGCCGGGTTTGCACAGGTAGGACCGGGTAAGCGTCCAGGCTTGACCTCTTGAAGTCTTCGATCCGGGCTATTTTTGAGATGTGCTCCGGGGCCCCTTGGGCGAGTTTGGATAACATGTCCGCGTCTGTGTTTTGGTCTCGGGGCACCTGTAGGACCTCATAATTGATCAGCTGCCCCAGGAGCTGGAGTACCACATCCCGGTACCTTCTCATCCTTTCGTCGCTTGCTTCGAATTCACCTGTAACCTGTCCCACCACGAGCCTGGAGTCACACCGTATTTTGAGTTTTTCCACCCTCATGTTCAATGCGAGGCGGAGCCCCCCCAGGAGCGCCTCGTACTCGGCTTCGTTGTTGGATAACTTGAACGCGAAGCGGAGGGCGTAGTAAGCCCGGAACCCCTCTGGGGTGATGAGGACGACTCCACCCCCGCAATTTTTGGCGCTGGAGGACCCGTCTGTTGAGAGGGTCCACCACTCCTCATCTTCGTCCCGTACTCGCTCCGTGGCCTCCCGGGCGGTGCACTCGACTATGAAATCAGCCAGTGCCTGCCCCTTGATGGCGGGCCTCGGCTTGAATTGTATGTCGAACTGGCTTAGCCGCATGGCCCATCTGACCAATCTGCTGGCCGACCCCGAGGCCCTCAGCACCGCGCCTAGTGGCTGGTTCGTGAGGACCTGTACGGGGTGGGCCTGGAAGTAGTGGTTCAGCTTCTTTGCCGTCGCGTCTACCGCGAAGATGGCCTTCTCCACAGGTGTGTACCTTACCTCCGCCCCCCGTAGAGCTCGGCTCGTATAGTATACGGGCCGTTGGACCCCCCCGTCGTCCCGGACCAGCACGGAGCTGACCGCGGCCTGCGAGATGCCCAAGTACAGGTACAGGACCTCCCCCTTTACGGGTTTGGCCAGGGGGGGGAGTGACATTAGGTACGTTTTGAGGTCTTCGAACGCTTTCTGGCATTCTTCGGACCACTCGAAGCCCTTAGTCTTCTTGAGGACGCCGAAGAACGGCAATGATTTTTCGGCCGACCTCGAGAGGAAACGGCCCAGGGCTGCCAACCGCCCGTTGAGGCGCTGGACCTCCCGGAGGGACCTCGGAGGTTCCATGTCGAGGATGGCCTTGACCTTGTCGGGGTTGGGCTCAATGCCCCTCTTCGAGACCATGTACCCCAGGAACTTTCCCCCGTGCACCCCGAAGGTGCATTTTCTGGGGTTCATCCTCCTCTGCAGCTTCTCGACCTCCCCCCGATGGGAGCTCGGAGCTCTATCTTTCGTTTCCCCCGATCGTTCGACCCGGGAGGCCTGCTCGCGTCGCGGGTGGAGTCGGGGGACCCGACCTGCTGACCCGCGCGAGGCTGCCTCGTGTCGCGGCGGGGCGCGGGGCCCACGGCTCGGCGGCCCCCGAGTGACCGATCCCTGTCGTAGCGGCCGGCGGGAGCATGACTCCGCCGCCGGTGGCCCATTGGCCGGCCTCGGACCCAACCTATCCCGGGCTGTCACGCGATCGCCCAATCTCTCCAGGGCGGGCCTGGTTTGGGTCGGCGTCCGTCCATCGTCGTCGCGCTGACGGTCTCGGCGGGAATCTCCACCCCCCCCGCCTCCCCGATGGTCGAGGCGAGTTGACCTCCCCCTGGGTGACAGGTGCCTGGGGCGGTCGGGTGCTCGGGCCGCTGCGTCCCCGGGGAGGAGGCGGAGGCGACCCTGGCGCCCCCCCGGCGGCGCCTAGGGCGGCTTGTTCCTCTGCTCGGAGGCCCGCCGCGACGCGCGCCAGCGCGGTGGAAGCTTGCTCGAAGACCGCCACCCCTTCCTGGATGAGTGCGCGAGCTGGAGCGGGGGCGGCGTGGGGAGCTGATGGCGCACCGCTACTACGGTGGTTGGTGAGCTGGGCCCTCAGATCCTCCCCCGATCTGGCAGAGGCGGCCGGTTGGATGCCGGGGGCGGGGGCCCCGTTGGGGCCGTTCGCGTTCGCGACGAGCTGGGTGCCGCGGGAACCATTGGTATGACGAGAGCTGGATCTCGATCGTGCCATCGCTGTCGATGAACAATAGTGGGGAGAGAGCGCTCAAGCTTGTACAGCAGCTCTCAACAAGAGCACCAATGATGGATTTAATTACCCGGGGTATACCCGAATCACTAAATCCGGATAAGAACGTATAATGAGAATAATAAACAAATAATATAGAATGATATCGTGAAGGTCGCGGTGGACCGTATATTATATTAATTGCCGTAGTATTTGGCTATTACAGAGATTCTCCAGTACAAAGTATGTCCGAAAAGTGGTGAGTGTCCTAACTGGACAGGATGAGGGGTTTTTATACAACCCCCGCCCCTAACCGCCACCCCCCAAAGCGGGGGGGGTGGTTAGATCTGAGTTGACCGCGCCCGGTCTTGCGACCGGGCCGCGTTATGGGGCCAGGCCGAGCCCGTCGTGGGCTCGGGCCGAGCCCACTAGGAGGTCGGCCCGGCCTCTGCCGTGGCCCGCGCGGGGCCACGTGGCGAGGCCCTCCCGGGGCGGGTACGTGGCGCCGCCCCGGGACCCGTTCTTGCCCGCGCCCCTCGGGTCGGTGCGGGTCGGTTCCTAATATATCCGTCAACACAGATGAAGTTTTTCAAATAAATCTGATAAAGTTATTCTCCACCGAAAGCTGCTGCATTTAATTACTTCAGAGCAAGTTGCAAATTGGAGCATTGCAAATCAGATGGACGGCCAGGATTGAAGAAGCTACAACGGCTATATGGTCTTTGTTGGCTATAAATACGGGCAAGGATTGAAGACTTGAAGCAGAGGCAATACACAATACAGAGAGCAATATTTGAAATATTCAGTTCATCATTCTTGAGCTATCTGCGTAGAAATCTTCAAGTCTTTAGAAGAGAAATTTGTTTTCTCTATATCTTTTCTCTACTGTGTGTAGAAAGAGGGTTAAGTGTAGCTGTGTGCAAAACACTAACCCGTTGAGTGTAGCTGTGTGCGAGACACTCGTGAGTGTAGCTGTGTGCAAAACGCTCGTGGTTGCTAAGTGTAGCTGTGTGCAAGACACTTAGTTGGCGTAGGAGTATAGCTGTGTGCGAAGTACTCGTGGAGGAGTGTAGCTGTGTGCAAGACACTCGGGGGTTGGGTGTAGCTGTGTGCAAAACACTCAAAGAAGTGCCTGTGTAGCACTTATTCACTATTGTAACTGTGTGTGGAAAGTAGTGAATTTTCTCCTAGACGTGAAAGGAGAAAAGTGGAGTAGGGGGATTACGCCACCTCCGAACCACTCTAAATTGCCTCTCTCATTTACTTACTGCTCTCATTTATTATTATATTACTAATTGTGGACTAACCCATTTAATTGTTACTATTCACTATCTGCATTTGTTATTGCTTACGTATGCATGCAAGATTGGCAATCATTTTACTTATATTATTTAATCTTGCATATTGCTTTGGACAAATTCAACTTACACTATTTATTTTGCTTCTCTAACCTCTAGTTGGATTTGTATATTTATTCATGCGCATGCAAAGAGTTGACTATTAAAATTCATATTCCATAATGCTTAGCACATTCCACACGTGAACTTGCATATCAAAATAATTAATGTTTGCATGGTTTATTGTACTAATCCTTTTCGTATAAGCATTGCCTAATTTCATCTGGGTTTACTATCTATCACGTCCGCATGCGAGCCAAAATTTGTATACATATCACTTGATTTATTTCAAGCATATCCATCATATTGCATGTGATATATCTCTCAGTTTTGACGTAACACTTTACTGTTGAATTATTCCGCTGTGCACCCAAGTTGAATATCTTGTTATTTATTTGTGACTTGGAGTTGAAATTATCAAAGTGTTATTAATTGTGAAAAAGTTTAGAAAGTCTATTCACCCCCCCCCCCCCTCTAGACTTTCTACCACCCTATCGGGACCAACAATTGGTATCAGAGCGGTTGTCTATTTGAGTCAATTTTGACTACTGGACAGATCTCAAAAACTTCAAAATGAAGAGAGATATGGTTTTTGCCCAAAATTTATTATTTTCCTTAGAAAAATTTGATGATTGGAAAATTCGTATGCAGGTACATTTATCCGCACTACATGATGAAATGTGGGAAGTAATCACTAGTGGTCCTATTGAAATCTTGCAAGTGAACACTGCATCCGTACAGACAAGTGATATCCCACGATATGTTCCAAAGCCTAAGGCGGAGTGGAATCGCGAAGATAGAATGTGAAATAATTTGGATAATATTGCTAAGGATATTTTGTTTAAATCTATTGATGATACAATTTTTCCTAAAGTTCGTAAATGCAGGACGGCGAAGGAAGTTTGGGAAACACTCATTCAAATAGGCGAAGGAGACGAACAAGAGAAGGATAACAAGCTTACCATAGCATTAAAGAAATTTGAGGATTTCAAAATGCTAAGTGGCGAGAATATTACCGACATGGAAACAAGATTTGCTAAAATCTTGGGAGAGATTAATGATCTTGGAAAAGACATTAATCAAAAGGAAATATCGCTCAAAATCCTACGCGGTCTACCATTAAGTTTTGATATGAAAGTCACCGCCATGAGAGATCATAGGGATCTAAAAACCCTATCAACCGAGAAACTCTTTAGTGATCTCAAAGCCTATGAATTTGAGATGAAGTCAAGGACGGAGGAAGAACAAGAAGAACGAACCAACGCACTAGTTGCCGAACAACCGTCCACGTCAAGGTCAGTAGAAAATAATGAATTATTAAATGACGAAAATTTTGCTTTGTTTGTCAGGAAATTCAAGAAATTTATGAGGAAGTACAACTCCAAAAATATTCCTCATGAAAGCTCGTCGAGAAGGCCAAGAAGAAACAACCTTGAGGGCAATGCATACTTGTGCTACAATTGTAGAGAGCCTGGACATTTTATAGGCGAATGTCCATACCCCAAGGTAAGCAAATATCAAACTAACAATGTACAGGAAGAAGTCAAATCCAAGGAAAGAAGATTCAAGAATGATAAGAGAAGAGCTTTAATTAGTGATCCTTTGGAGACAAGTGAGTCAAAACTATCCTCAAGTGATGAGAGTGATAGCTCAAAGGAAGACACAGCACTATTTGGCATGAGCATAGCAAGTGAATCAAATGATCCAAACATGTGCTTAATGACACACGAAATAGAAGATGATGAGGTAACTTCTAAATCTTTTGACTCTGTAAGTTCATCATTCTCTAGAGAGTCCATCTTCCACTTAATGAAAGATTGTCAAACCATGATGGACACTCACTTAGAAATCAAAGAGCGCAATAATCTTTTGATTCTTGAAAAAGATCAATTAAATGAAAAATTGCAAAATGCTCTATTTGAATAAGAGACTTGAAAGCCGAAAATATTCGACTTCAAGAAGAGTGTAAATCAAGGGAAGTGAGAGAACACAACCTTAGAGAGGTTATAGCAACATTTACACATTCATCCAAAATAATGGATAAAATGGTAGATATGCAAAAACCCTCAAGTGATAAAACCAGACTTGGTTATGATCCATCGTGTTCTCAAGCCTCCGAGAAATTGACCAATTCTACTACTACTTTAAATAATAAAGTCCAAGTAGTAAAATTTGTAAAAGGTCAAGAAAGCACAGTGAGGCAAGGAATTGGTCACCAAACAAACGCCAAAATTAACACTGCAAGGCCGAAGCCTCAAAATCAATATATTTCGCCAAAGCAGTTTGTAAAAAGGCAAAAGTTTGTTCCTAAATGGAAAAATGCCAATGAGTCTAGTGCACAAAGTCCTCATAGGAAAATGAGAAGAAATCCGAGAATTGGGGCAGGGAGATTATATCCCTCTGAACAAGATTGGCTTGATGATATTAAACCATGGACTAAGTCCAGATTTAATGCCTTTCATAGGCTCAAACAATCTTCTTCCCAAGTGCCAAAAGATCGAGTCAATTTTCAAAACCCGGCACCAAAAATGTTTTCAAAAATTAGCTATGATTATAAAGTCTTTAATGGTTACAAATCACCTAATCTTGGTTCAATAAGAACTAGGTGGATTTGGGTACCAAAAATTACTAACACACAAGGACCCAAAGAGATGTGGGTACCAAAATCAAATTAATCTTTGTTTGCAGGAAAATTGGGATGCATAGTATATTGATATTAAATGACAAATCAAATGCACCCAGTT